GCTTCCGATCAAAATCAAGCAAATACGCAAGGACCGTTTCGACCAGATCTTCGGGTGTGCTCAAGCCAATGGGCTTCACGCGTGCACCCACTTGGCCACTTTGTGGCTTGATGAGAGCACCCAATTGACCAGACTGTGGATGTGATGCAGCTGGACGCCCCGTTCGGTTTCTGTGAGAAAGGTCCAATCGTTCCGAATCCAGTTCGTGAGTCCTGCTGCAGATGTGGAACCATATGTGGAGTCTCTGTTCTTTGCAAGAGTTTGTAAGACAGGTAAAAGTAACAGATTGTAACGTATACAGGACCCAATGCTGGTGACAATTAATTGCGCTGATTGCCTGGCACTTGTCCAAGGACCGTTAGATAGGAATGGACAACATGGGCCGGCGGTGCGCTTCGGTTTTTGCGAAACGTGCAAACGGCGCAAAGCGTCGTCCAAGACGACGGATGCATAGGGCCGGAGGGCGAGGGGCTGGTTCGGCAAAGATGAGCTTATGTGATTATACCCTGTCACGGCAAATGCCGCATTTTGTTTTACCAAAATGTCCTGGCGAGGACTCTTGTTTAGAGACATTGAAACCATTAGAATCATTTTAACTTGTTACTGCATTATAGAACTAAAGTAGCAGTTCAATGGGTTTCCCATAACTCACCCCAAACAACTTGCTTGCACGTCTGGATCCTCTCCGCGGTCCGGCTCCAGGTGCAGTGGCTGGACATGCGTTCGGCGGTGCTGCATGCCTTCACCAGCATGAACGGTGTCTCGGTCAATCCTCCAGTGGGTCCGTTGGACTGGGGGGTCTTCATATGGCTCCTGGCCTTACTACGAACGGAGCGATCGGACGCTACGAACGTAACAAAGGGCATCGCTACGAACGGAGCGATCGGACGCTACGATCGGGGCTCCTGGCATCTAGGATCAGCTTAGGCTTAGATGGTAGGATTATGGGATGTTCGCAGCCAGAGAATCGACATATCCCATACAAGTGGACAGATCGTGGAGTATTTTGCTCAGGTGGTCCAAGAGCTTTCTTCATCAGTGTAGCGTATGAGTCTAGGCTTTGATGCTTTTCCCCGCTGCTGTTCTTGGACTTTGACCAGTCCTCCACCCCGACCCCCCACCCCGACAAACCTAAGTCCTCAAAGGCTCGCTCTTGCCCGTGAACGACTTCCAGAAGCAGGAGAGACTGAGACAAGACCTGCTGAGACCAAGAACTGTCACAGCTCGCGCCACCCGAGACGTACAAGCACAGCGAACGACCATGGTGTTGGTCTATAGGTGAAACACAGCGAACGAGCATGTTCGACCCGCTTGTTGACCATATCCAGCTCATTGTTGTTTGCCCAGCGTTTGTTCCATACCCACGATGTTTGTGTTGTCAAGCAAGACGCTCGCTAGCTGCTTTCGAGGAATTTGATCGCCTGGGCCTCCAGCGGAGAGATCCCATGTTCCTCACCATGGTCACTCTACTGGAGGTGCGATATGGGGGGTGCCTTGGGAAATTATTCCAGGCATACCCTTACGTATTGGAATATTTTTGCTGGAATATTTTTTCTGGAATATTTTTCCATGCAGGTATGCCATACCCCACCGTGGAGCTTGTCGTGGAATAATTGTTTAAGGTATAAATATGTTAAAGCGCTGTCCAAACTGAGCGATCATCTCAGAGGGATCCAGAGGGGTCCATACCAAATAGAGGTAAATTAATAAGTCGAATCAAAACAGTCGATATCAATCGATGTCGTCTTTTTGAATGCAGAAAAAACTCTTGGACACAATAAGCTTTTGGATATGAGCTTGGGATGTTTGATTTTTGATTCAAATACATATATTGAAATGGATCCAACAGATTTTGGCAGTACATTAGGTGAAGAGACTGGGGATTGGTCAGTTTACAAAATATATTCCATATGTAATCTAGAGGTCACATACTGCTGGAATATTTTGAGCGAGACTTGGATGTGTGTCAAGTTGTTTCTGTTCAAGATTGCACGCTGCTTCAAATCTTTCCAAGAGTGATGTCGTGACACCTTGGACTATTTACCTAAACCTATAGGATTATTAAATTATGTTAAGATGCCAGAAACTATTCTAGGAGGTTCCCACCCTGTGGAATAATTATCCAAATCGATGTTCAACCCTCCAGGAATAATAGATAAATATTCCTGGAGGTATCGACGGTCTGAGGTATCTAAGGGACCCCCCATGGTGCGATGCATCTCGTCTGGCGGCTGGAGGTGCCAGTGATACCATGGCTTCGGTGCGATCCGCGGGTTCTTCATGGTGCTTCATAGATGGCAGTTTCACAGCAAGTGGCCTATACTTACTCGACTGGTCAACAAGTATAGGCCACGTGCTCGAGCTCGACCCAGGCCCTTGCTCGGTCAGTATGGTCCACAAGAACACCGACCCACCTCGCTCGATCCGACCCGCCGCGACGGACACGCGGCGGATGCCGTAGTTGGCGCTCCTTTCGACCGTCCTCGGCCCGTGTGCAGGTGGACTCCTTTCCCTCACTCCGGAGCTTGGTCTCCTACTCCGAAAGCTTAGATCCAGACGAGGAGCATCTTCCCGGGCCCTTTGGGGGGAAGAGGCAGGTGGTAGGAGCGGAATGAGAGTGGAAGAGATTGGAAAGATATGGAAAGATTATGAAACTCATGTCTATTTTTCTTTGTGGTCAAACAGGTTTTGCAGATCTCGAAGAGGTCTTGATGGGGAGTGATCCATTTTTCATCATCTGAATGGACCATCAGACCTTCACCCATGTTTTTCAATAGACTACCTATGACTACCTTAATTACAATAAGTACAGTGGTTTCAGAGTAGATGGCACTGGCACCCCTAGATGTCTTTTAGATGGGTGTCCATATAAACCACCAACCTCTTGGACATTTGTGCCACTGTACACTTCTGTTTTTTCCTCCCGGAGACCACCTATAGGAAGGATGGTCCTGGTGGATGCTCCAAATCCGCCGGTGGTCCCATTGACACCAGGAAGTTCGTCGCATGCAATGGCTTCGGGATGGCATGACGCCCGAAGAGGCGGGAGGCCGAAACTGAGGGGGCGAAGCTGAGACTTGGTAGCGACCAGCGACTTGTTAACTGACTGGCATAGTATACCAATTTGTCCTGGGGTTCGAAAAAGGGGTCAAGTTACGAATCATGGAAGTGGATGGCATGGCCTGTGGGGGGTCGTCCACTTGCATGTTTGTTGCACGGAGTGTAATAATAATGTGTATATAAAGAATTCTAAAGATGTATAAAAACATGTACCACTAAATACATATAATTACATGTCACAAAACGTTGAATTACCAATATATAATATATTATATATAACAATAGTCATAGTTATTTCTATGTTCCAGACCCATGGAGTGTTTGGGCAAACGATTAGCCCGATCGACCCTCTCGTGATACTTTGGAGGTTCATCTACCGGATTTCCTAGTGCTTGGCCCGCAAATGTCCGAATGACCATCGTTGGATGATGTTGGAGGGACAATGTTGGAAAGGGGTGGGACCTGGCTCTGGGTCAAAAAACCTGTAGACCTTAGTTGACCTGCCTGGAAGGTCAAGATACTTGGTGTTGGGGCTCCAAGTTTTGACCAAAGATTTCCTCAGCCAAACTGATCTCCTGCCACCAAATCAAATCAGAGCTTGAGAGTAGAAGCCCTCTCAAACCACAGCTGGTGCTGTTGGACAGGAAAAGAGCACTGCCTATAGTGCTAAGTGGCCGGAGTCTACCGTGAGATGTTCAACGTAAGTTGATTTACTGAGGACCATCCGAATCGGATGTCCTTTAGCCCTAAAGGAAGTACCTGAACCTTCTGTGTGTTTTGGAGCCCATAAACTGTCACAAGCTGCCATGTAGCACAGGAAGGCATGGTGAGGCAGGTGCCCTGAAGAGATTTTGCCTTGGCCTTGCCGCTGCTGTGAGTAGAAAGCTGCTTTGGAAGGTTTTGGCTGTTTGCAACAACTGTTGTTGTAGCGTTTCAGCTCACAGCTAAAGTTTGCTTCAAGGATTGTTAGGAACTTGACTCTATATGACTCTACCAGCCTTTGACATGCACCTGCATGAGATCATGATAACTGTATGATGTGTTCAGTGAACATTTGTTGAGCCAATAGTACTTACCTTACCAGCCCTTCAGTATCATTGGCTCTATTCTTACCGATCCAATCACATCCCGCAGTTCACCGTGGCCGATGTGTGAAGAGTACCGCCGGCGCCTCTTTGACCCCGCGTCACTGGGACTGCCACGGGACTTCGTGCTGACCAGCTTCTCTGAACGGAAGGGCTGAGGCTGCAAAGTGGGGCAAGAGACCCTCATCAGCTGGTTGGGAGGAGCCTTGATTAAAGAATATTTAGACACATGTCTTCAGAAGCAGGGGCTGCATTCTTGATGTAGAGTGCTTTCAAACGCAGTGCATTGTTAGATGGAAAGGGCAGGTAGGATGATGTAGCTGATTGGAAGGTGATATTCAGGGAGACTCACATGGTTCACCCTGGCAGTTTGGGAGTATACTGAGCAATGTAATTAATTCATCCAATCACTTGCCGGATGCCAATAATATAGTCTATATAGATGTCTATAGTTTGTTTTGTGTCCTGCTTTTGCACTACGTGAGCTGGATTGGTGGTCCTTTTCGTTGGGCTCAGTGTCAATGGAGAGGCTCCGTTGGTTGGTGTACAATAGGAGTGTGGCTTCAGCGCAGGGGATGGGCGCAAGCGGACACTGAGCCCAACGGTCTCTCCATTTATCAATGACCCTTCTTTTGAGACGCTAACAAGTTCACCAAGCATACCATTCGGAATGTGGAAATATCTTAGTTTTCTTTACAAAGGCATATCAAAAGGATTCAAATGATCTGCATTGATTCTGCCGTTTTGCACGTCCTTTCGCCTCCGACTTCAGCGCTGTTCTGAGTTCGTTCGTTCGTTCGTCCTTTCGCCTCAGAAGTCGCGACCCGTCGACTCCCAGGAATTGGTGATGGCCGCATGCTGACCGAGGACTCTCCTGACGTTTCTTTAATTCCTATCGGGGCTGCCGGGGGTCAATCGGAGAAGATCTATCTGGCAAGCACCACCGACGCTTGATTTGCCCTAGGATTGAGACATACGTATCCCTGGAGGATAGGGATTCTTGGCTTTAGGTTTTTTTCTGAAAAAAATATGAAAAAATATGATTCTGAAAATATGAAAAAAATATGGTCGCTTTTTTTTAATATGAAAATAATATGGAAAAAAGTGGACAGAATACACAAACAAATGCAAAAAATAATCAAAAAAAATATGAAAATCAGCCTGGAGCTTGCCAAAGATTGAAAAATGGTTGATTTGAAGAATTCCTGAAATGTTCCTTGAGGGGATCCTGTCTTTTTCTAGTTACATTATTTTCATATTTTTTTATATTCGCTAAAATTGGGTTTTCTCATTTCATATTTCAGGAATTCATCAGATTCATATTTTTTTCAGAAAATAAACCTATTTTCAATCCATGGCAAGCTCCAGGGTCACTGTGTCTCAACCCTAGGATTTTCCACAATTGCACCAACCAAAGAATCTACAACCGCTGTTGGGATCCAAAATTCTGGAGTATTGTTTCTGGTTTGTTAAAGTTACATCGCAGATATTGCACCAACAGAACCACATGAAACTACATGAACCACATGGGCCTGCTGCATGAATAGCCGTGATAGATGAGATGTATCAAGTGAGAGGATCCTGGTTATGGTTCTTCAACATTGGCCCAGGTGCTAGGAGGAGTTGCTACATGTTGGAGCACTGATACACCAAACTTTCAAAAGGAACAGGTTGGTGTTTGCATTTTGCTCATCAAACGTCTATCATATGGACAACCAGTGTAGCAATATTCACGAACGCCATGGCCCTGTGTTGTTTGTTTTTTGTTTATTGTTCTAGACATTTGATATCCACCACTGCCAAGGATTTCTTCTCACCAATCTCGCTGGACCCGTACAAGCAGGGCCGCATTGCTTGCGCGAACACTCTGTCGGATCTCTATGCCATTGGTGCTCATCGCGTGGACACGATGCTGATGATCTTGTCGGTGTCCACGAAGATGGAGGACGAGCATCGTGACATCGCCGCTTGGAGGAGAACAACGGGTGGCGACATGTTTTCGCATCAAGATGTGGTCCTCAAGATGTAGTGTAGAATGTAGACTCTTGATTGCATTTCACCCCCCATGTTGGATTGTAACACCTTTGCATATGGGAGGGTGAACATATTCAAGAGTCTACAACTATCTCAAGAGGCTTCCAAGCACTGTAGCCGTCTGATGACTTTTGCAATATGGGTCTTCGGATGTGAAGTGACCCTTTTTTGCTGCTGCCTTCAGACACGTGCCCCACAACCCACCGGACGTTGAGCTTGGAAAGGCATTCCTTGGACATGATCTTTCCAGGGGCCATGATCCACTTCCATGATTGCTTCAATGAGTGTGTGTGTGTATTATATATACATATGACAATGATATATAATATATATATATGTTATAATTAGTTATGTACGCATGACCCGTTGAAGCCCACCAGAGTTCAGTAGGTGCCCCAAGCTTTTGGCGGTGTTCCTGCCAGTCCCTCAGGCTCCAAACTGCCTTCTGAGAAAGGCAGTTGGGCATCCTAGGGTGTTCGAGCTTGTACGTGAGGATGTGGTTGGAGCTCTAGAAAGCATAGCTACTAGACGTGTCCAAGCCTTCTTTTCAACTTCACCTCTGGGTGGCTGTTCATGTTTCTTTGAGGTCACCAAAACCATGATCCGTGGCTTCAATGATGCCTGCGCGCTGGCGGGCTGCCGGGTGACCGGTGGCCAGACCGTCTTCAATCCATGGCCGGTTCTGGGAGGCGCGGGGAACTGGAGGGATTCAATGAGTTTCAGTTCGAAAGGAAACAAGTGGAGGCCATCGGTATTAGGTTGGAGGCCACACATAAGAGAAAGGACATAAATCAAGTGGATACCGTTTCAGATCAATTTTAGTACAGAGTCTTGTTACAGGCCTTCCCCATGCACCACGGTGTTTAGCCCACCACACCGCCAAGCCAGTTGCTCCAACCCATGGCGAGAGGTTGTGCGAGCACCACGTTGGTGGAGCACGAGATCATCCGAGCAGATGGCTTGGTCAGTGGCGATGTCTTGGTGCTGACAAAGCCTTTGGGCTCTCAGAGCCTCGGCAGTAAAATGAACCTTGGAAGACCTCCAAATCACCGATCTCTCCAAATACCAGCGTGCCTTTCGACGCCCCAAGTATCCAGAAGCCGTCCTTGTTTTTTTCAACATTTTTCGACGAGCCAAATCCGAGACTTCGCCGACGTCAGGATCGCAGCCAATTTGGCCTTATGGCTTGGGGACGAAGCCAAGTGGCGCAAGGCCTCAGCGATGATCGACCTGGACACCGCGCTGCGTGCGGTGCAGACGCTCGGATCAGCACCGACAGGGGTGGAAGGTGACTGGAGGGCAGGCAGGCGGGGCAGTGAGTTTTACTCACTATGTTTTTGTTGGTTGGCTGGTTGGTGCCTCTTTCAGCTTTCTGGGTTGTTTTTGGGGCTGAATCATCAAGTCACATGAGTCACCAAAACTCCCAGCCTTTAGCTGATGTTGCGTTTTTCGGGGTAGATCATTGAACCAAGTCCCAACACGTGTTAAACACGTCAGGAAGGCTGAAGAGGCAATGATGCGGCTGAACCTCCACGCTTCGGCGTTACTGGGCCGCTTCGGTGCCCACGGTGCCACAGACGTCACGGGCTTTGGACTGCTGGGCCATGCACAGAATTTGGCGCAGGTGAGGGGTTTTTGCGTGAGAACAACATGGTGAGAACAAGATCGGTCTTAAGATCGATGTTAGACCCACCAGTTCTTCTTGCGACAAATCTCAAGACATCCGCCACGTGCGGAAGGATTGCAGAAGATATTAGGTAAAGAGGTGTTCGGAGTATGGCGATCGTCCGTGCTTGTTTAGTCCCACCACCGAGCCTGTGGGAAAGTCGCTAGGAACCTTTCCATGTCGGCACAGGTGCAGAAACAGGCGGTGACCTTGGAGATTCGAAAGATGCCCATCATCAGGTGAGGAGGGAAGATCGGCTGGGAAGATTGGTGCAGGACAGGACAGGTGGTGTGATGTGGTGATGTGGAAGATGCATGGGATGGACATAAGCAAAAGATGCGGACGAATCTGGAAGATGTATATGAGTGAATCAATTCCTTTGAAAAGGAGGCAAAATGGCATCATGGAAGATAAGGAAACAATATTTGATGTGATGTGCGGTGACCCGTTTAGTCATTCCGGGACTGCGCAATACTCATCAAGTGCACTGACAGATACTGGTATCCACACTATATCCACCATCCATCGGTTATCGGTGGCTTTTAAGTTGATTGGGTTGCACATTGGCAACAAGTCCCCAATCATTTCTCCGTCGCCGTCAGGGGGCTCTTGGCGCTGGAGAGTTGTGTGGATGCCAATTACCAACTCAGCAAAGGCTTCTTGGCTGAAGCTTGCGGTGCCGAAGAGAACACTGAACTCCTTAGCTTAAGATGTATACAGCAAATGGAGGAAAAGCTTTTGCATTTGTTTAGTCACTGTTTGGATGCGTGTTGCTCCAAAAGATTGAACGCAAGTTTGACAAGGAACATGGTTCAATCTGCGCAGTTTGTATGACTCCACTCAGCTGTGGCAGAACCAGGTGCAAATAATACAAATTACCGTGTCTTTGAAAGCAGATGCCTTGGCAGGTGGGTCTCGTAAAGGCATAGGGGCCCACTTTGAGCCACAGCCACTCCTTGCGAAATGCGGTAAATCAATATGTTGTGATGACTCGCTCGCACGGTGGTTAGCTGTGACTTTGTTCAAGTGGGCATTTGTTTTACATCCTTAGCTCCAAAGTGGCTCCAGCAGATGCAAATCGAGAACAAGTCAAGACCTCTTATACCTGGATCCTCCTTTGGGCGGAAAAAAGTGCCGGACCTCAATCCGGCAAAATTTTCCGCCGGATTCCGAAAAAAACGCCGGAGACCTGAAAAAACATCCGGATCCAAGATTCTGAAAAACAGAGATGATAAAAGGCTGGATCATACACAAGCAAACTGCCTTTGCGCCACAAGTAGTTTTTTCTGGAACACACTCATTCCACAACCCAGCACTGGAGCCTTCCCGTTCCCATTGCCCTCGCCCATCTTCCGAATGGCCTAAGAGCAGAACCATCACAAAATATAAGCAAACTTGTGCCCAAGCAAAGACTTCCAAGAAGAAACCAAGGAGTATGTGGCAAGGAACCCCTATTTCTCTGCACCCGTGTCTCTAATTGTTTTTTACAAAGTGGCTCTCCATGATTCTTATATGGTTTTAAATTGTTTTTTATTGCTTGCCTCAGGACGGCCCCGCCAATAAAGTAGCAGCACTCATGGTTCCTGTCGAAACTCTTAGTTGAAAAACTTTTCAAAATTCAAAAGACTGAGTCCAAAAAAATACGCCGGAGTTACGGGAAATTACGCCGGAGTTACGGGAAATTACGCCGGAGTTACGGGAAAAAACGCCGGAGTTACGACGTGCAAAAAAATACGCCGGAGTTACGGGAAATTACGCCGGAGTTACGGGAAATTACGCCGGAGTTACGGGAAAAAACGCCGGAGTTACGACGTGCAATTTTTCTTAGCAACTCTTTGCAAAACATTGAGATTCTGAACAACACATGTTCCACAGCCCAAAACTTGTCCGGCAGGCTCTGCAAACCTGCGCAACTAGAACTAATTATATCCCAGCGCCCCGACATCCTGAAACAATGGGAGTACATCTTTGCCTATGTTCTTTCAGCTTAGGTACACCCACTTGGGTCTTTCAACACGTGCATCGCACTGTACCAATTTCATCCGATTTCACTTAGAAGATCACCTAAACGGATCTGATTGATCCAGTGTGAACCATGCTGAAACCGGTGGAATGAGAAAACAGCGGAACAGGCAAACGAGCACACTTTGCAAGCAAATCATTACCTTCAAAGAAATGCAAGCCACAAAGAATGCAAAGCCTTGAGAATCCACATTTCAAGTGACTTGGAAAAACCGCCGGACCAAATCCAGAAAAACGCCGGAGTTGGAAGTCCGGCGCCGGACCCTGTAAAAGTGCCGGACTGAAGATCTAGGTATAACTATATAACTATAGTCTTACCGCAGCCCTTCCTGATTCACATACCCGTCCTCTGAAGGGAGACACGTTTACATAGGCTTGGAAGGGTCCAGTCGTAACGAACCTGGCAGTGGATCTCAGGCTTCTCCGCCGAGAACTCTGGTGGGCTCTTGGTGGCTTTGCCCTCGCGACCTTCTGCACAGGACTGCCAGCCGGGGAGTGGAATGACTGGCAGGGACAGATGCATCACAGAAATCTGCATTCTTACACCATTCACAGCTGTCTCAGCTGGTAGATCGTTGCCCTGCAATCCGCACTTTGACTGGTTGCACCAGGCGCTAGAAGAGCGCCCGGACCAAGTGGCCAAATCTTCCACCGGTCACCAAGTAAGATGAATTCAACATAATTCAACATTTTCCGACTGGAGAGTTTGGATGAGTTTGGCACTGAACTGGCACAACGGCACCAACGACCCCGGATTGGGTGACCAACCCGAAGCGCCGAAGCAGGAGACACACGAGAAGTTTCCGAGGTTAGATCTGTTGAAGGTTCGCAGGCGTCGATGGCTGTGAATCAAAACCCGGGGAATCGACCGGTTGAACCCTGACCATGAACAGATTATAGTAAGATAAAGATATATCAAGGATGTGGGCCTTTCACCTGTTGGTGGAGTCTTTGACAGGGGTGGGGCCCCCCAGTCGTGAACCACCACGAGGTCTACCTGGCAACGACCCTCAGTCCAACGGCGCGGACTGCCAGGACTTCATTTCGGCCCTGCAATCCCCTGAGTTCGACGGCCCAGAAGCTGAGGCCTGGATCGTCGGTGAGGCCCGGTGGAAGACGGGAGAGGACGGCAGAAGACGCGGCAAGACACTCCAACAGCATGGTCGTTTGGAGTTGGACGGTTTGTTGGCAAGCCGTTCTTGCTGGTTTTTGGGCTGGATTCGCATGTGTTTACAACTGATGCATTGTGTTTGAAGATGATCATAGATTATGTGGACCTCTAGAATAACCTGGATGTTCTTTTCACGTTTGAACCTTAGGGGGCCAGGCAATTTTTTATATTTTTATGGGCAGGACCCACATGACTGAAGTCTGTTTAAGTTTGTCCACTCCTGGATGTGGTTGGCGATTAGTGTTGCCCTATTGTTTCATTGGTTTTATGTTTTTTTCCCAAGGACCTCTTGATAGGCGGCAGGGTCTAGGAGAGGGTTAGTAAGGAAGCTATGGTCAAATACGATGGCTCAGTGGGCCACAGATGTTTTCACATGGAGACGACAGCTTCATCTCATTTTGGCGAACTGGTGAGGGTAGCCATGCCCAGCTTGCCCACACTTGGAAATCGTGTTAGCGTCTTGCCGTGACGTGTTTGCCGAACAAGGCATAAAGTCTATAAACAGAGGTACTCTGGTTCACGTTTTTATGGTCGAAGGAATACCATATCCTCCCGCTGACTGACATGGAAGTGGAACATGGCCCTGGAAGAAACGACTTTCAGCCCGGTTTTCCACTTCCATTTTAGTGAATCGGCGTGCATATCGTCAAAGCACCTTTTGAGGAGGTGTTTCTGCCAACAAACATTCCGAGGTCTTTCTGCCTGAGATGCCCCATTATGTACTGTATCTCTTTGCTCCAGTTTGGTGGATTTCCGAAAAACATGTTGGCATTGGTTTCAGCCCTTCCAAATTGGCAAATCAAGGGTGTAGCGCTTAGAAGGGCGCAACTCGTTGTAACAGGTCCTTAACGACCAAGTCCTCTTGGAAGGCCCTACGCTCTTCGGTCCTTTTGAAGCTTTCGCCACCAAGGGATGCCTTGAGCGCTGGCAGGTGGTGCCTGGAGACCGCACCGCACGGCTGGCAGAGCATTGCCAGGTGATTGAGGTGTAATTGTTGAAGAACCAGATTTAAGTGATGCCCACACATGAAGGGTTCAGTTTTTCCCTTTATCCAACATGCATGTATAGCTTATAGCATAATCATGTATAATCAATTATTGCCCTTTTAATATCGCCATCATTCATTTGACACAACTATACCATCAACTATCAATTTATGTTTTATTAAGTGTTGTTGTTTTCCAGTCTGATAACTGCTCGGATGGACGACGGGCCGAGAAGTGGCTGAAGTGACACCGGGCAGCGAATGGCGGAGTCGAGGACTTCGCAGCTGCTCCGTGGAGGAGTCACGCTGCCGGGCCATCCGCGCGACACAGATTGGTTCTTTGGAAGGACAGGGATTGGTTCAACCAGAAAACGGATTTTATTCATTTTTTGGAGTGATGATTTGCAGATTTGGAGAGAGTGATTCGAAGCAATATATAGTTCGATAGACCATCGTTGCAGAGACCAGCAAGTCGGGACGCAGAAGCCCCATGATTGGTCCCATGATGTGATGAGATGCTGTACAGCTTTGGTTTGAGAAGCTTGGAGACCCACAGTCGTCCAAGGGACTCTCTCATGATACGCAAGGGCTGTCAAAGTCATAACAGGCTTGACCCAAAAGGAAGGGGGGAATTTCAACAGGAACAAATTTTCGATGAGCAGACTGTTGATCGTTGCCTTCGAATGCCTTCGACAGTCTTTAGACTTTTAATCCACGTTCCAAGTCCACCAAGCGATGCAATTGTGGACCATTTCGGCCTTTCATGCAGTTTCGTGGACCCTACAGCCCACCAGCTTGCCAAAGATGCAAGGTCGGCCAACCAGCAAAGAAAACGAGCAAGTTGTGCGTAGCTTGCGGGTTGACACGTAAATTGGACATAGGGCCCCTCAATGCCCGCAGTTCAATCACGGGACCTTGTATTTCACTGTAGACAAGACACAGTCTTTTTTGAAGGCACAGAAACTGTGACCCTGGCCATCCTGGCCATGTCATGGAATGACCTGGCTGCTCGAAGAAAATCAAATTCATGGAAATGGCCTGGCCCACGCTTGGCCTACCACCTTCCCCTAGACGGCTTTTCTTTGTGCTTGCTCAAGAAGGTCACGGGATTCAAGTTCTAGAGGGATGGCCATCTGAACGAAGGATCCATCAGATTCACAGATTCCACTAGGTCAACATGCAAGATGGTGCAAGGTATAGAGGAAGGACTCAGTTCTGAGAGGACAATGACAGTCGTTTGGTGTTCAAAAAGCACCGTTCTCCCCCGCGGCTGTTCGTGGGATGCAGTGCATGCAGCGTATGCAGCTCATGTGGGCAGGTCATGGCCAAGCTGAAGACCAGCAATGCTCCAGCGCAGGTTCTTGTGGGATTCCACTGCTTTGTTCAAACCCAACTGAGATGGGGGTGTGGCTTTCAGGTGCTTGCGATTTGGGGTCTTTCCCTGAGTGCAGAAACACTTTGCTTGTGGGTGAGTTTGCAGCTCATCCTAGCATGTGTCCTTGATTCAATGGCCACAGGATACCACGGACGGTCTCATGTCCAGAAGGATCATATAGGTGAGCTGCCTTTCCAGTGATAGAGAAAATGCATCGTTTGGGTAAAACATGGTCGAACATGGTAAAGGCAGTTGCTTATTTTTAGAAACGTCATTGCATATAATTGCACATTTTGAAACTCAAAGTCTAGCTCCTGATCTTTGACCGATGAACAATGATCAGTTTCGAGCGTACAGCTCGCACTCAGATCAGAACTCTTAGTCACCAAGACCGAGCAACCCGACCTATCAGATCTACCAAGACCAGTATCAGACCCCAGCAGGTCGTCTCACCAGACCAGTACCACCATCTCACGTACCGACCGTAGTTCCGATCGCCAGGTGGTGGCCATGTTCCGCACCGCAGAGGCCAGGGTGGGTCGTGGGTGTGGTGATGGGGGGAGGATGCCCGCAGAAGCGCAGCTCTGGATGGGCACCCCGCGTTTTTTTCTGGAGGTAGTTGGAGCCTGAGTTGGTGCAGGGTTGTATGTTAATGCAGAATGTATGATGCAGAGGCAAGGATTGAAAGAGACCCTCCAAGGACCTTTGGCTACGAGTAGACTTACTTTCTTAATAGCTGTTCTGTTTGTCCCACTGGAGGCTCCGAGCTGCTTTAGAAGAGGACTTGACTTCGCGCACGATGCTCCACTTGACTTCGCAGGAACGCGGCCGGCTCTGGGAGCAGAGGATGAAGCAGGAGTCGACTTCTGCGGCTGTTCACTGTCAAAACAAAAATCACAAATCCAAAAAGAAGACTGCGCCAAAGCATTGCCATGCACTTCTGCAAGTCATTTGAAAAATTTGAGGAATCAATTTTGGCAGGAGGAGACTGCTGCTGGTGCTGGTGCTGGTGCTGTTGCTGTTGGGGGTGTTGTGGTTGTGGTTGTGGTCGTTGTTGTTGGGGATTGTTGGGTTCAGTTACTGTACATGTTTCTTTTGTTGGGCAAGACATGGAGGGGAAAACAACATGTTGGGTAAACAGGGGGGGTTGCCCGGACTGCAACATGCAGAGGACCAGAAAACTAATGCGTTTCACAGGGTATTTTTGGTTTCGGGACACTCAACTGACGATAACTTGAGTTCATATTTAGGTTTTTTTAAGACCATCCAAAGACAAGTCAGTCCCATGCGCCACGACATCAGTCCTCTTCTCAATTGAGCCGTGACAGCTCACTGTACATTTGAGCTGGCGGACAAGTGTCTTGCACAGCCTCTCTGTGTATTTTCACAGCCTGTAGCATTGAGTCCAACCCTGGATGTTGGCTGAACCACAATGCTGCGAGGCCTTCAACGTGCTCTCGTTGCAGCTTCGCATCGCAACGCCCAAAAGCGCAACGCGAAGATCGAAGGAACCGCGAATACAACGTCACGACGCCGGCAAAGAAACGTGAAGTTCGGCTTGCGCAACCAGTAACACGAACGAAGCTGTCCCCAGCCCCCCCCAACCCCTCCCTCACCCACCCCGGAGAACCCTGTTCCGTGGTCGGAAACGTTTGCTTTCCGTTGACCCAACACGTTGATCACTTTCGACCAGTTTCCGAGCAAAAGGACTCCAAGAGGATGAGCAGAGATTCACCAACCAACACAACCGCAGCTCGTTAGAACAAAGCTGGTATTGTACGCTTAAAGCTCGCACCCCAAAACTCCCACTCTGAGGCTTTTCAGTCCTCACAGAAAGGCAAACACCATGAGACCCTTGATGCTGGAGGTCTCCAGCAGTTGGATCGGTGGCTTTTCTTTGGCTTTGCAGCTCCAATCTCTTCAGCCATCCGTTCACCGGCTGGGTCCACGTGATGCACGTTGTGAAGAGTCGTGCACGTCACATTGGCATGTTGTACTAGTTCTTTCCAGGAATGTTACGAGACAAAGGTTAAAGATTGCTAAATTACAATCACCATCCACTTGAAGTCAGCCGCAGGAGCAAACTGCTCGCCTTTGACCAGATTTGAATGAAAAAGAGAGTGAAGCTGCTGACCAGACTTGAGGGAGTGCCAAGCTGGGCAGATCTTGGGGGGACGAAAAAGATGATCAGCTCCAGAGTGGGGATTCACGGCTATCTTGGCGAAAAAGAATGAGACCCCGACATGACAGAAGATCACCCATCAGTTGCAGAGAACGGAAACTACACACAGCTGTGAACTCGGGCAAGCCTCCGTTGGTTGGAGTCCCAGAGACTTGACATATTGGCTGTGGGACTCGCAGGCTAGGATCCGTGTCAAAAACAAAATTTATCCCCAAACAACAGTTTTTCACCACTAGACTCAAGTGATCCTTAGTTTTCTGTTTTGAAACGGAAAAATCTTGCAACATTTAAGGGACCTTGGCTGGGAACACTTCAGTCTTGTTTTGGTCCATGATTCAATTTCAGGATCTTCAGGTGGGCCTTGTGGGGGGTCAAGGTTTCAAAGTCCTTTCATTGCAGGGATTCCGCCTTTTCACACAGTCTGAACCGTGGTGACATACAGTAGATGAAACCTCGCTGAGGACCTCAGAACCGGGATCAGCTAGGCTATAAACAACGGACTCGCACACTTCGGACCCAGGCCCGCCTTGCCAACCAATGGTTCTGCCATCCTGCGGCAGCCCAAATCCCAGAGATGAGATCTATTGAGATCCGGACTGATAAAAGGGTGACATGCCTCGCAAGCATTTCACATCATCGTCGTTGAGCAAGCCCCCCAAGCACTTGGGGGCAGCTTAGCTCCGGTACTTAGAAGCATCCCAAAAAGGGACTCTATCAGACTTTTGGCGGTGACATTTCCAAGCTTTCATCGGATTTGGGTGATTTGCGGCGAAGTCACAAGTAAATATAGAATAGCTATACGGATCTATACGGTGTCTACCAGGGTTTGCGTTTGCAGAGGCTGGTAGTACAGGAGATCACAGGAGAGTAAGTAGTTAGCTGGCTGCTTCGACCAACAATGCCTCATGCGCTGCAGGTTTAGCGCGCCTGTGGTCAGGCGCAGCAGGGAGAGTAGGATATGGGGATCGGACGTGGATTTTTTCAGGGAATCTTGTGGAGAAGGCACTACATGCAGAGTTTCTGAGGCGCTTGTTGCAAGTTGAATATGGTTGAACAAGGGAGGTTGGGCTCTTTTATTGAAGCCACACAGGCAAAGTCAGCCACATTCTTCCAATACTTGAATGCTTTTGAAACTTCTTTAATTCGCCACTGGAGTGTTCAACGGCTTTTGGCTTTCACTTCAGTCTAGTAGCCACAAGATGTGACCAGAATGCCAAAATGGAGATACTGCAATCCCATCAAATCAAACAACACCTGGATATCAACCACACCAGTTGTGTGGAGCGGACTACCTTTTCTCAAAGAAGTCAGAGGGTTCGCCGGTTTCTCAGCTTGATGTCACCATCACCGGGTGGCTCAGTGAATCCAATCATATCCCTCCTGCCGGGTTTGTACCACCGGGTTGGTATCTTTTAACTACCGGGATGCACCCGCACACCGGAGGAGGACGGTGGAACCATGTTCGGGTGAATCCTCGCTCTGGCAAGACCAGAAGCCCGACCCCTTCAGGAGTGGTGCCTTGCTTTCGCGTCGAAGCCTTCCAGGCACTGGAACTGCTCAGTGGAATGAGGGGATTGAATCCAACGTGTGGACTGCTTGCACATCTCTTGGAGTTCAGAGGTGGGTAGGATCATCATCATGACTCGCCCAGTGGGTTCTTTGGAAGTGTGACCACCTTGGCGACAAAGATCCACAAAACGCGTGAAGCGAAATGGACGTTCTGGCTGGCACATTCACAGGCACTGCTACACACTGTTGATGGACAAAAGCACCACAGAGTTCGAAAAGCCACGGATGTGCTTCTCCGGGATGTACGGTGATTCTCGTGGCATCTCGTCGGCATGTCGATGGTTCGTACAGGGCTGGTGAGCCTCACAGTACCAGGCTCTCCAGATCAAATTTTGAGAGTTAGCAAGAAAGTAGGGAAGGACTTTTTATGCAGCCGCATCATGACTTACATGCCTCATAGAGGTAATTATATAGACCTTTACAGAATGATGAATGCTCCCAGGAGACGATGTTCTTTTGCAATTTGAGGAAGCATGGTACAAACATGATACCATTTGAAGGTTCCAATCCAAACACACATCATGCTTACCAAGGAGATAGGATGACACGCTACAAGCTCCAATCAGTTGGCACGTTGTGTGCTCGGGCAATTCAGCATATAACTACCAAGAGGGAAAAGACATGTGGACTGACTCAATTGAATGCTTAGATTTGTCAGGATCCTCCTTCCTGACCATTTGCTGTTTACGCACTGTGCATCTGAGCCTGTGCTTGAGCACCTTGCCAGGAAATCCACCTCCCCGTGCGGTGAGCACTGTGCTACCAGCGCATGCGCAAGCCTTAGTGAGCACAATGCATTGCACGCTTGTGCAGATCACGTCATCCACCAGAAAACTGTTCTTTGTTCCAACACAAAACATGAAGCAAGGTGTTCATTTGTTATTTCTGATGTGCTTCTTTGCACAGACAAAGGCAATCAGGTGACTGTTGATTAAATATATATATATATATAGTACCACAGACCACTCAAAAAGACAAACAGGATGGTTCCCAAGGTTTTTTTGGTGGGCCATGAGCGAACGCTCAGGATGGTGTCAAGCATTTGATCAACCTTTTGTAGCATTGGTGGTTGGGCAGAAGGAAAATACTAACAAGGTCGCACCCGATACAAGGTCAATGCACCTGATCAAGCATGTGTTTCTCCACATAACTTGCACCGCTTCATCCCAACAGAGGTACACCCAGCCATTTCAGCCACTCCAGCAGCCACGCCGGCAGTGACGCCAGCGGCGACGCCGGCGGCACCGCCACCGGTGGTGCCGATCGCAACAACGGTGGTTGGCGTTGACCTCAGATGACGCTTGACACTCGAGAATTTCATGCGGCACCTCCCAAACTGATAGCTTTCGGTGTCAGATAAAGGCCAACGATATGATTCATATTGATTCATAGATGTTGGATGACCAATTTGGCTTGCATGTTGAACTCCTTGGATATTCGATTCAAAATAACAAGCTGAGCCGATGGTGGGACATGTTATCTCTTGTTTTGCAGCTTACTGACCCCACAGGTTGACCCACCCTCTCCTGTCGGTCACAGAACTGAGGCTGGCCACCCAGCGCAGGCAATGCAGGTGCAAAACGGGCCTGACAGACCTTGGCCAGAGAGACCCCCATACTCCGTTCTCGAAAAGGATATTGAATGGAAACGGAGTTTTGGGGTTGTGCTTCTGCACGGCAGCTGCAAAGAATTGAACGAATTGAACCATGGATCCACTTCATGCATACCGGAGTCAGAGTCAATGGAGTGGATGTTGTATCACACGCAACATGATTCGTTCCTTCTTCTTGCATGGATCGCGATGCGATGTTGTTCTTCACGTCGTTGGAGCCCCCGAAACATCCCAAGAGCTGCACCACTCGGATGGTCGTTTGCACAGCGGCTTCCAAAGGGGGGGCATACCAATTTTTGGCCCGAAACATCCTCCCTGCTCAATTGCTTCGCATAAAGAGTTTCGCTCAACTGCTGAACTGCTTCGGCTCCAGCCTTTGGCATTTCAACACCAACAGTTCGGGTCACGCTGTGGCGGGGAGAGCTCGGGACCGATGGGGAACTCTGGGCTGCTGGGCTGCTGTGTGACCCTTGGTGATGCGGATGCTGCGGTCGGCCGTTGTTTTAAGCTGGTCGAGTGACTCCCCGAGATGGGGTAAGACGACGGAGGCAGGCCTGTAGGAGGCGTGGCCTACGCGGCCTGGCCTACGCAAATCCTCGGTGGTTGAAAGTCGTGAATCAATTCACCCAGAGCCATTTGGTTGGGTAACTTAAATTCAATCCGTAAAACTTGTGAAGATTCCCAGCGGGTTCCAATGGGGACAAGTAGTTTTGATGTTTATGCAATGCATGGATGTCCAACAATTACAGATAATTACAGTACATTCAAGGGGCATTGGGTTTGGCAAGATGTTGGCCAGATGTCGAGATGAACTCGTTAGACAACTTTACCCCATACCAGGAATCCAGGAGACTCACACACACCAAAGGATTTGTGCAGTGTACCAGAAAGTGAGCAACATCCCTGACGACTCAAGAAGCCTGGAATCCAATGCCCACCGTTGCAAGCCAAACAAAGCAAAAGGATCCGAGAATATCATGATGTCCTTCTTGTCCCACACCAAACACGCTGTGAACATTATAGGGGCTATAGAGACTCCTTTTACAAGTGTTTCAAGAAGATATCCTCAGTGACCCCTGCAACCATGGTGTGATGTGGAACCCTCATGCGAATTGGACCTTTTGGGCAGACCATGAATCTGAAAGCACTCTTCCTGAACCGACCTTTTAGCGCGCGCGATCGGGGCCCAATGTTCCACCGACCCGCGACCGTTTCTTCGGTGTTGGACAGAACCAAAGAACCAAAGAACCAAAAACATACGAGAATCGAGAAATGAGAGAAACGTCAAACACCATCTCCCTCGTCCGAACGCGCTTGAAAACGCTCAGGAACAAAGATGTGCAGGTGGAGGCCTCGCTCGCTGCCCTGCCTACCCAGCGAAAGTTGAGACCCTTGTTGTGCGACTTGGAGGACGCGTCCTAGACGCGGGGGAACTCGAATGTGGAGACGCTCCAGTCCCGTATTTGTCGGTGCGCCGTACAGTATTAGGTGGAAGAAGTTTGGGGACTTGACCAGCAAGTCTGTGGGGGGGGAAACCCGACCTGCTCGAAGCAGACGATGCCTCAGACAACATAGGAGGGTTGTGTCTAAGCCAATGGGTACTCATTCTTAGAACTTTTTCAACTACGCCATCAAATTGGCAGACCTGACCTAGCGGTCAACAACCCGGAGCAGTGGATTTAAATCGCAAGTCCTGTATTCAACTCACCTTGGAAAAGACACTTCACTCGCAGCAACTCCAGTCAGTCCTTTCACAATCGCCCTTGCAGGAGCAGTTCAAGAAGCATGCGGGCCATGATCAGGCCCTAGATCAGAAGGAGCTGGCGGAAATCTGGATCAAGGCGATGGATTTTGGCGGATCACTCGACCATGTATATAGGATGATACTAGTCCTTGCAAGAATTGAAAGGTCATTGACTGAAACACTCAGAGTCCAGAGTGCTGGGAGATTGTGAAGCAAACAGCATTTGCTTTAACTACGTAGCATGAAGCAGCAGTTCGAATCGACTTTGGCTTTTTGCTGAATCCAATGGATCCAACGAAACAACAACTGTTGCTTTGAGCAACAACCGAAGTGTGGAATGTGGTTTTCTTTGTTTAACAAAATTTGGATATAAGCAATCTGCAGATTCGGGTGTTGCCGGGGTCATCGCCAAGGTGTTTGGACAGATGTTATGTTTCTTGTGACGCTAAAGAAGCAGTGATGTCTTCTTGCAAGCATGGTAGAACAAATCCACATATATATCGCATATATATATATATGCCTTTCCGAGCTTCAATTCAATGTTGGAGCGCCACATACTGGCAGTTTATCTATGTATCCAGGAAAACTATTTGCAGCAGAGTGATGGGGGCTGTCTCCAGGAAGGTCATGCTAGATATTGATAGTCACCATACAGGATGCTTGTAGCATGTCAGACGCAAGTTGTTTTTCAAGCGAAAACAGCTCCTGGTTGGCAACAACTTCTGATCAGACACTTCACCTTCCTGCTCCATCCGTGCTGCAGGCAGCTGAAGTGAAAGTAGGCCACAGCGGGTTGGGGGGATTGAGGGGATGTGGGTCTCCGTGAAAGGACCAGACAGAAGTCTCCGCAGAGCGACCAAGCGTCTTCCGGCTTGGGGTTTAGTGGTTTAGAAAGCACCGAGGCTTTCGACAATACACCGACAGCAAAGGAATTGTGTTTGCCGGATCGCCCGCGAGCATCCATCTATAGTGGCCAGGGCCCTCAGGGTTCAGCTTTTGAGCTACTGATCCAATCCGCACTTGAGTCCAGTCCTACATTCACTCCTGATGGCCGACCCAATGTAGGCCATTGCAATGATAAGTCATTAATGATAATGCGCTGCTTTCATCCGCTTTCCATGTTTCTTCAATCACTTGCCAAAGATCATTCCGGCATCGGAGGTTGTCCCTAGCAGTCTGTGTATCCTTAAACTCCCACGGCAAGCGCATTGAAGTGGCTGGCTTGACCGGCCTGACCTGTCGATGGGCGGAGGCGAAGGCTGTTTCCTATACTGCCTATACTGTTGTTCACTAAGGGCACCAGTTGGCAGGGATGTGCCCTTTCCTATATAACCTTCCTTGCTTATTCAGACGGGTATTTCTTTGGAGCTCTATTGGAAAACCTTGTTTGGAGAGCTCTTTGAAAGAGTCAGCTTTGTTTAGTAGACTCACAACCCTTACTTTGTCGTCCTAATTCTTCACCAGCCATGTATAAAGTAGTATAAATATAGTAGTTTGCCGCTGGCAAAGTGCGATCCTTTGCAGGCAAAGTCTCGCCGGAGGAAGCTGCCTTCATCGAGCAAAGTACTCAGGAGAGAGTTCTTGGCCGCTGCGTTGAGTCTCTCAGATGCCTATTAACAGACGTTGGATGACTAGGGTTGATTGGGACACTGACTGATGGTCTCATCATCACCACCGCCACCACCACCAGCATCATCGGCAGCAACAGAATGATCATGATTGATTTGTTTCCTTGCAATTAGTAAGATACACAACGAGTTTGCTTTGTTTTCTTTTTTAACTTATGAGACCGATGTGTCACAGTCTCGGGGAACAGCAAAGCTGACAGCAGATGAACCCGATGATGAACCCCAAAAGCTGCATTTGGTCGTGATGCCCCCGTGCCATGTGGTGCCTGCTTTGAGGAGTATTTTCAGATCATGGACACGGACAAGTCCGGAAAGGTCACCTACGAGTCTTGGATGTTTGTGAGCGGAATCTGGAGGATGATCTCTTCCAATAGTATCGAAGTGAATGATGGTAAGTTGATCCTTATAGGTCCTAGGTGGATGATCTCTTCAGCGAAAGTGGACTGGGGATTCATCAAAACACACTGTTGACACCTACACTGTTCTAGGAGGAACATGGCCTGAACTGAAGGCGTTCCATGTTAAGGTTCTTGGATGGGAACCCTGTAAGGCCTGTAAGTTATCGAAATGGTTCGATGTGTCAACCCTATATATATATATGCTGTATATGAATATATGTATAATATTGTTTGTGTCATTCTATGTTTGTAATGCCCCCAATGGAACCTGGTCGGCTGCGGTGCCTTAACCGTTCTGCCATAGTTATAAAAGGCTGTGAGTTTATGAAACGCAGCTGAACCCTCATAGGGTCATAGGACTGAAATTCTTTCTGGGTGATGTGGCACCAGTTTTTCCATGTGGTTTCCATATGCCTGTTAAATGCTCCTCGAACCCAACCCGCCTCACCGATCTACCGACCAAGGAGGAGTTCGTGGCCGGCATGCTTGGTGGGAACGAAGATGTCGGTCATATGAGACAGCGACCTGGTGGCGGATGAAGCCCCAATTGTGCTGGAGTAGTACTGGGATGTACTTTGTTTCGACTCTCGACGTTGCTCATCCCCTGGTGACGTCAAAAATGAGGTTGCTCCATAGATTGAACACGGGATTGCTGCCATTATGTGCTTAAGTAGTGATTCGATACGGTGCTTGCTTGTCAGAGGCACCTGCACCTGCCCAGAACTTGTCCTTGTTGATTCTTTTTGGTGCTGCACGGGCTTCGCGATGGCTACCATACAGAAAATATTGCACATGCTTTCATTGTCTGAAGGAATAGGGTAAATGCCACGCCAAATCCACGCTGCTCTTTTGTCCTTTTCTGTGTTTTCTAGCTTTGCCGATTTGTTTGGCAATCGGAACAATGAAACAAATGAAAACAAGTGGCATGCATGGTGTATACTTTAAACATTTAAAAAAAAAACAAAAAAACACATATAGGAGTTTTGTTGGTGAGGTTGCGCAAACATCTCAACACCAAGATGAAGGACGATCCCAAGCAACTGCAGAAGCCGAAGCCTCAGAACAAAGCTAGACTTGGACATCTCAGAGAATCCGTGAACAAAGCTAGACTTGGAAATTGTCTGTATTTTCCTGAAAGTGTTTGATATGTGGTGGGAATGTGGTTCACACCCTTTCACAATTTTCGGACACCGAGCAGCTTGACTCTCGGGCCTTTTCGAGAAACGCATGGTCTTGAGGTCAATTCCCTCGAGCTGTACCAATTATCAACATGGAAATTAATCCAAGTAACAGTCCCTTGAACCTTGGAAGACTTTTGGCTTTCAGCTTGTGTCCTTTCGCCAAGGCAAATTCATTGTATAAAGTAGATGCACAATGCACGTGTTGGGTGAACAAATCTCAAAGACAGGCTGATCTCGTCCTTCAAAGAGTGGGCCGGGGAGCCTGATTTGACGATCCGGGTGGAGCAGTGGAGGATTCATCGCAAGAAGATGTGGATGGATCGATCGGCTTGGGGATGGATGAGTCTTTGGATTGACTCCACAGTCAAGAGCCGTTGATAAGAGTCTTGATATATTTTGTATGCATTGTTTGAACTATTTTGGTGTATATTACACTGGTTGGGAGAAAGAAAGGCCCAGAACTGGGATGATGGCAATGTTTAAGACTTTCAATTGGCCATGTTGCATATATGACGCCGAACCTTTCGTGACGTGTGCGGTGAACAAGTGAGGTGCATATATGACGTCGAACACCCATGTTAATTAACTTGTTTGGTACGTTTCCACCGTTTCCTACTGATGTCAGCTTCAACCCCTTCTCACCCAAAAGAGATCCAACTACCTCACGGTGCCCGAAGCTCAAAGCCTCCCGTACCGGAACGCCCCCGACCGGTCAGGAACAGCCCGATCGGTCAGGATCGGCCAGGATCGGAACGGCCCGTGCCGACCAGGACAAGAACGGTGATGGCTATGTGAGCCGTGAGGAGCTTGAGGCCGGTGGCTTGGGGAGGTGTTTTGGGTGGACCTTCACTGGATGTGAAGAGGTAGAAACCCCTCCAGACACAATCACCAGTCTTGAAGTTGAGACAGGAAGGTGAATAGTTACTGATGGAACCCATGTTTGGTTGAACTCGATCAAAACGGGTCAATAAAGCTATTTGATTTATCACTTTGGGTCATCCTTCTCCAAGATAGTTGATAGTTCCCATGAGGCAGTTCTCATTTGGTACTCGCCGCACAGGAGCACTTGAAAGAGCTGCTCGGCAGCAGTCGGTCGAACGGACCGCTGAGAAAGAGAAGAGAGAACTCCCCAAACGCCACTAGTAGAAGGACCTTGGTGAACCAAGATGGCGTGACCCCTCTTGGTTTGGGAAGACTCGGAGGACCCTTCATTTTTTGTAAAAAGCGATGCATAATTAACATAAACTGTTTGACACCCTCCTGGTCTTGGACTTGCACTTGGACTTGCATCTGAGATGGCACAAATGACACAAATTTGGATAAAGATCTGAGAAGTTACATATTCTTTGCTTTGGGCCTTTACGCAGTACATGTCATTGTTCCTGTTGTGTTGTTTCCAAATAGAGCATTATGATTGGCAACTTATTTTAGTTAGAGAGTTGTTCTCACAAGGACAAGATTTTCCAGACCTCCCACGCTCAAACGTTTGGTTATGTTTGGTTTATTTTTGCTGAGACAGGAACCTTTGAGAAGCATATTTGAACATTGCCTTTTGTCCGGTCTTCACGAATGTGGCTGCAGGATCAGCACTCATCATGCAGCAGGATCAACCAAAAAGCGGATCCACACGAGTTTGCCCTGGGGCTCCAACATCCTCAGAAGGTAGTTGGCCCCAGCCTACCCCAACCACCTTCTCCAAGAGCAGGTGTTGGAGGTGTAGTGTTGACTGTAGGATTATCAATATTATCACTTGGCCATGTGCAGGTCTTGCTCCAGTGATATTCATTGAATGCTATTGAGTTGCTGTGTTGAGCTTGCAATTTATCACAGAAACCTTTCTTGTTGATTCTTTGTTTGAGTCGAGTCTCGTACATCACTGGAGAATCCATGTCGTTGTCACTGGAGAATCCATGCATGCCAACAATAGCCGTTGAATTGAGTTCGTCAGCTTTCGCCCCATGGTTGTTGTATATCCGGTTGAACTTGAGCTGTTGAGGCTTCGAAAGCTTGCGATGGAGGATGGAACGATCAGCAAAGATGAGAAGAAACAGATGGATGAGGCATAGCAAGCAAGAGGACACTACTCACACTACTACTCACTACTCCTCAAGAAATCCATACCATTCTTCCAGCCCAGTCTTTATACGGAAGTGCAAGGGTGGAAGCCTTCGGTTGTGTGGATTTGTGTTGAAGGAAGACATCCTGCACCACCTATTCGCAGGATGAAGACCGCTTATTCGCAGCATGTCTAAGGACTGATCGAAGAGATGGGACCCCCACAGTAGCGTCCGATCGCTCCGTTCGTAGCGATGCCAGGAGCCCCGTTCGTAGCGTCCGATCGCTCCCAGGTGCAAAAGATGATCAATGAGATGTTCTCGAATGCAGATGCAGCGCTGCCCAGCCGGAGGGCTGTGCTACGATGCACATCCACTAAGTTACTTGAGAATGATATGGTATGACTTTGACATCATTGTGCAGATTGCAGAAGGACACTAAATACAACATTGCATATTGTCGTACAATAACAAGTCCAGTGTTTGTTTATCAGATTAATCATTTGATCAATCCTCCTTCTTGGTGGCTTTGCCATGGGCATGTGTCCTGCATCAAGATGGTCACGGTCCAAACAAATGCATTCACATCAGAAATCACAAGCAAGCCAAGTCACGAAAGCGAAGGCGCTAGCTGAGTTCTTCTTTGCTTCAGCAATCTTGTATTGGGATGAGGTTAAAGCTTGATCTTTCACACTATAGCCCTCCTACTCTAGCGGGACACATGGGAGATCCTGTTGTGAACAGTACATGACTTCCTGACTTCTTGACTTGAGATCAGATGATGCAGGTGTCATCCCTCACTTGACCCAACGTTACCCCATGAAAGAGCATTGAAGCGAAGGTATCCGTCAGAGGTCCTCTTTGTTGCGTAGTTTGACATTTTGTTTCCGGACACCTGCTTCAAGACACCAATGTATACACTATACACGAAACCCCCATAGTGTGGATTGCTGCTGCTGCTGATGCTGCTGTTGGATCTGTTAGATTGCTGAGAGGCGTACTGTAGTTCTTCTTGTTTTCTAGAAGCATGCTTAGGGGTCGCTTCGGGCCATGCCTTGTAGACTTTGGCCGCCTGCTGCTGCTGCTGCTGAAGGTGGTGCTGCTGCTGCTGCTGCTGCTGCTGCTGCGACTGACTCAGCAGCCCCGATGAGAGGACCACCCAGTTGCGATCGAAAATGACGTTTGAATGCAGACATTAAATATATGAAGATCGTTAAAGTATCTCAAACTGTGGACTGCTGCCATCAGACATGTCAACCTGCCACTTTTTGTGCACATGTTGTTTTCATGTGTTTGTTCTATAATTTCTTTCTTCAACTTCACTGAAAGAACTGAAACACCAAAGCACGATATGTCTTTACTTCGTGAGGTGGATATGGACGGAAAGGTCGACCTTTGGGAGGTCATGGCCTACATTTTGGGCAGAAAGAGCCTAAACCGCAGATGCGTCACGTCGCACGTCGAGGTGGTCGCCTGGACTGGACTCGGAGTTTTGGGGTGGGAACTCAGTGGTTGGTATGCAGAGTGGGACAACATTGGATTCATAGGAATCCATCCAAGGAACAGCCGCACACAATGGAAAGGGCAAAGGGCTCCTACGAGACGAGTTATTGTTCACTACAGACGTGGTTTCTTTGACGAAATAGTCAAGACATGTTAAGACATTGCTGTAATATGCTGTAATTCAGAATGTTCAGTGATTTAGGTAACTGTGCGTTTTCTGAAGCCACATCATGTTTGTGCATGTCAGACAGCCCGTCCAACGGCTAAGGAAGCAGCCGGCCATGGTCTTAGTGTGTGGCAGTTGTTGAACTGTTGCGTACTGTGTTGGTCTCAGAGGATGAAGGAACTTTTGACAGCCACAACACCCAAGATGCTAATGACTGCTACTGTCTCCAAAACAAGGGGTTCTCACAAGGCCAAGACATGTCAAAACCAACATGCCTCAGCTTTTGTTCTTATACAGTCCCCAAAAGCTAGCCTAATCAGCAAACTACCGGTCCCACTAAGACTCTTATACCCGTCTGGAATCCAACTATTTTTTCCTGGACCTGGGCAACCACTATATATAAAAACAATAGGTCCCTCTACCATGGCACATGGACCTGGCAAGCAGGACTTCATAACTGTTTCATATTCTAACATGATTTAATCAAACAGGATTTTATAAAAGCATGATTTTTTTATAAAGTCCTAGTGATGAGTCCATTGCAGATTTCTGAAACAATACCTTGTCAAAGGATTTTATAAATTTATACTGGAAAACCAGACGGCTAAAGTTGGGGGGGGGCAGGGCCGTGCTGATATTCGTTTTTTCGGACGGTGAAGAGGACTGGCCTCCAACCTAAGAGCGAAGGCCTCCACTAGCAAACTCTCTGTGTCAGACCTGCAGCCAGAAAGATCGTGCTGAATCATCAGGCATTGGGCCATGCTATGTTGTCCTGTACAGTCATGAAAATCACTGTTAGATCTGTAAGATGTTGGGATGGGCATGAACCTGGAAGAAAACCTGTAAGATCTGTAAGATGTTGGGATTGGTAGCAGCTAACAAGCAACGATTTGTTATATAGTCCTGTGCACTTTGTGTGAACATACCACACCTGGTTGGGTTTGCTGACCATCCGCATTGCCATGCTTCTCGTTTGGCTGTTGCTCGCATTTTGCTGGGGAGCCTACAGTGTTGTGAACACGCAGACGACGGCCAAGGAGAATGTCAGTGGAAGTTCATATATTTTATATGTTCCTGTCACATTAGCATAGTGATGTGGTAAATTATGATAATTATGTATATTTTCCTGCACTCCGATTTTCTGACAGATCCAGCAGACAGACATTGCACTCTAGCATCTCTAGATTGACATGATTGACTGTTTTTATAATTTCTTTTCCCACCAGCTTTCCTGTTCCCTTTGAAGCAGTGGCCAAAATCCGCATGGTGCCGCTCCGGCGCATTGCAGACGGCGAGGGGGAGGAGGAGTGGTACGGGTGCAATTCCTTTTCTGGGTGCATGCTCGTCAACCAAAGCAGGTTCATCGCAAAGCTCACGGTCAAGGAATGTTTGGCTGGCTTGGATGGAATGCGTGTGGCGTTGAGTGAGGATGACAAGATCGCCATGCAGGAAGCTCAGGGCAGCTCAGAATTAATGGACATGATCCTCAGCGGCGAGAAGAAACCAGGCAGAAAGAAAATGCAGCAGAACACCGATGCCGATGAGGGCGCTGCACCAAGCAAGGCTTTCCAGTTCATGCCTTCGTCGTTTGGTGCAAGCAAAGCTGGAGCTCGCAACATTCAGCGTTGCATGGAGGATTTGCTGAATCTGTACAGGTTAAGCTTCCCCCTGCAGAACATCTTCGACGAGCATGGCAATGTGAAAAGCACAGGAGTGGCTTGGGAGGACACGGTGAAGAGATCACCAGAGTTCTTCTCGAGCTACTTTGGTCATGCGAAGAAGGGCGACAGGTCAGCGCTGATCTTCAAGCACCTGGAGGACATCAAGCGTGCTTTGATGGAGAAGCCTGCAAGAAAGCATGGTTTCTTCAAGCTGCTGTCCGAGATCCCCAAAGGATCTCGGATGATGAACGACAATGCATGAGCATGCCGGAAAAAAAGTCAGCTCTGCATGCTCTGCGATGGATTTCCATGGATGGACAAGACAGCTTTTATTATATTTTTCTGTGTGGAATTTTTCGGGTTTTGGTGGGCGTAAGGAATTCATAAATCTCTGGTGCCCCAATCCCCGGGGAGGACGTTACCAGGAATCCGCCAAGATCTACCGGTGTTTCCCCAGGGAGTTTAAAGTCCCAGTGATAGGATTTTATAGAACCTAAATTTTGAAGCATGGACCTGGCCAACAGGACTTCATATATCCCGAAAATGGATTTTTCCTATGAATTTTCTATTTTTTCTAGGAGTCCAGGTCCCCCTGGAGTACACACGGGTATGACTCTTTGATCACAACACACAACGGGCTGATGATACTAGCCCTCCACGCCAAATAAGCCGGCAGAACCTGCAAGGGCTCACCGCCTTCCTCGACCCGCCCCGCTTCCGCTCGCGCTCCACACCTGCGTTCGAACGCTGCTCGCCAGCTTCGCTCGCTCGCGTCCGCTCGCGTCGCGCCTCAAGCGCTCTCTCCCGAGGTCGAGATCTTGCTCTACGACATCTCCAAGGGTATGGCCGCGAAGCTCGGTCCGCTGCTCTTGGGGAAGAGCGCCGAGGTTGGGACCACGGGGGTTTCACGGGGGTAGGACGCGACTGGGGAGGCCTGGCGTCGTGGTGTTGTCACACTGAAGCTCTTGGGCCAAGAGTTGTAGAATCAATAGCTTGTAGAATTCATCAAAGAATCATGAACTGATCAGTTATATATTCAGGTAGCCAGCTGATGTTCCAACGTCAACGTCCATGACATTGAAACGATGTCATTTTTTCCATAAAGGTAGGGTCAAGTACCTTCGTTTCAAAGGTGTTTGGGGTGGGTGCTGGTACTTGGAGCCCTAGGGTTTGGTATTTCCCTGCCCCTCTCCGAGCGGTGCAGGCCGGCCGCGGGCCGCATCAAAGGACCCGCCACCGTCAGCCGACGCCAGGCGGTCCACACCGGCGTGTTGGTCTATGGCAGCGAGTATTGGTATGGCATCGGCCTCAATGACAGGGAAGATTCGACATCTAAGGTTGATGTCAATGCCGATATATATATATATATTATATTATATATATGCGCACAGGTGTAGTCACAGGTGTGTTTTGTTTATAATTGCAATTTGAGGGACACAAGGCATGCTGCAGAGTCTGACTGACCCCTGTCAGTAATTGTGGCTTTGACCTCCTTTCAGTGATGGCTTCATTTAAAGAGTTCCGGAGACGCGAACCGCCAGCACCCCAGACAGCAACATGCCTTTGCTCAGGGTTGGTTGTCCTAGCTACTCGTATAAAACATGGTCCTATAGCTATCAGTGTGGATCCCAACAGTGCTGAAGACACTTGGCATGGCTTGATCTACCAGCCTCTTCCATTTCAAGACATTTTCGTCGCTTGGAGTCGCAATCCATGAACATCCTGCAGACACGTGTCGCATGGTTTCCTCCATGAACCCCAGACCTTCGGCAGCCCTTCAGACCTCTTCGCCCTCGACGCTCGAGGTGGAAAGCTCTTCCGGAGCGACCCTCCCTGCCGCAAGCAGTTTGGCGAGCCGCTGACGAACCCCTGGGGCATCCAGTTGGAGAGGTTCATTGTTTGTTTGGGAAGAATCGACGAAATTCATGACATGCTGATTTCATGTTTGCCAGACCTCGCGGGGTTTGTAGGAGGAAAGCGCTATGGCCATGGAAAGATCTGGAAACATCCAAAAATCCCCATGGCCCATCGGTTCCATTTCAGCGGACCGATTTCCTGCAGGTCGGAGCAAAGGCCGGACCTCCCCGTGGTCCGCCTGGGCTACACCTTCGTCACCCACGAGGCGTTGAAATCGGAAGACTTCCCAAGCCAGAACATCCATGGGACTGGAAGAGTTGCATATACTGTAGCCCAATAGTTTTTCCAGTCCCATGGATGGCTTGGGCAGGGAGATAGGGTTTCAAGGGCCATTTCAATGTGTCCTTTTGGATTCTCAAACAGATAGAGGATATATTAATATTGGTTTTCTCATTTTTTATATGGTGTTTTGGTCTTCCCCAGCCAGCAAGAGTCCAAGCATAATATGATATTCAAGTGGAGGCTCCTAGTTAAGCTTCATGGACTCTGTGTGTGTTGTTAGCATGTCACTTGAATGAACATCCAATAAATCCAATATTGTTGGAAACTCACCCGTAATTAGCTGGACAGTTGAAGGAGAACACCCTGCACGACCTGGAACACACTGTAAATCATTCCCTGGCCATGTCCATCCAGCCAAAAAGACACATCAACATCGGGAACCCAGAACAGCTGGGGTCTTGTCTTTTTCGGAACCCTTGACCCACATGAAGCCATTTGAAGCCTACTTCTGTAGGTTCCTTGACCCGAATCGTTTGAGACTTTCAGTTTGGGCCGTGCACTGGGACGCGCCAGGAATTCGTGGGATGGCTCCAGGCGGAGGTTAAGGACGGGTGGCAAGCATCAGAAACAGAGAGAAGAATGGCCAAAGAAACTATCAAACACCGCAAGGTAGGAAAGTAGAGCAGAAAAGTGTCCCCACATGTGGAGACATGACCTCAGTGGATGACACTGGCGTCATTCGATCCAAAGCAGGGGAAGTCTGAGTCAGATTTGAGTCTGACTGCAAGCTTGACAAGCGCCTTCGGCGCCTTCTTGATGAAGAAAGGATCAACAAAAACACAAACCGGGATCGGATCTATATAGGACTCTGTGCATCTCCCCACGTCGGGACGGAACCGTCGCATCCTTCTCTAGCGCTGGCGAAGTCCGTCCTCCGCAGAGGAGAGATACACTGGCCTTCACACCTATGACCTTCTCACGCATAGCTGCAACCACTTCAGCAATGAGGCCCTCTTTTCCGCAGAGCTCTCAGGGAAACCATGGGGAACCTGTGGTCCGTCTCTCTTGAAAATCTAAGTCCTTTCAATTTTTGCAGGCCCCACTTTCAAGTTGCTTCAGACCCAGTGTTGTTCCCAGTACTTCATGTTCAGCCTGGATCAGCATGCGCAGGTGTCCTTTTTTGGCCCAAAAGTTTGGCTGGAGACCAGGATTATCATCATCTCCCAGCTGAGACCCATAACATGTAGAGCATGAATGAGCATAACCCCATTAAACAGTATTACAGTATATCTGCAGTAGAAATAGTGGCTTCTTACCTTCCAGTCATTGTTTTGACCGGTTTCAACAAGGTGATTGGCTCCCTCAGTTGTTTAAGCCCAAAGTGCTCGGCTCCGTGTGTTTGAAGCAGGTATGTACTTTCCTGCTGGGCCAGGGGATCCCTGAGAAGATCTTCGAACTTCAGAGTCTCGTCCCGAAGGAACTCGTCGACCGATGCTTTTGGAAGAACGTCCGGAAGAACTCACACCGAACAGTCACCAAACCGAACTTGATCATCCTTGCAGTCGGGGCAATCCTTGTCACTTTGCGTTGAGGGATTCCTTGTTGGCGCCAGTGAGTAGAGAATCTCAAGCGTTCGCCAGCCTTGCGAAGCATCACCCTTTCTGCTTTGGAGACCTCGTGGTGTTTCGGGAAGCAGGGCCGCGGGGGCTGGTGGTTTTGGTGAAAGATCTCTTTTCCTTGAACAGTAGGAGGTATATGCGCAGCCATGTGTGCAGCCACCGTACCAACCTGACGAGATGCTCCCAGGAAGACCTTCCTCTCGGGTCCCATCGTCGCGCTGCGTCCCTTGGCCCTGTTTGCAGCAGTTGGCAGCCGAATCGAGTCCAAAGAGTGAAGCCAGTGAAACCTCTCAAATGTATTGTAATCGTTCTTGTACGTACTATATATATAATATATATATATTACAATTCAATCAGTAATTCTTACAATCTATTACGCGTATTACATCACGGAGTGCTTGGCCTTCAGCAGGCCCTGTGGCATCCCGTGGCCCTCCAGGTAGGTAGTTCTGTTTCACGGGGTAGTAGTAGTAGTAGTAGTAGTAGTAGTAGTAGTAGTAGTAGTAGTAGTAGTAGTCGTAGTCGTAGTCGTAGTAGTAGTAGTAGTAGTAGTAGTAGTAGTAGTAGTAGTAGTAGTAGTAGTAGTGTCCTTTTGAGACTTGCTGGACCCACCCTGGAATGGTACAAGACTGCTTTGTAAGGGTCACAGCGTGATTCATACATAGTGTTGCGCATGAAATGCTAAGTGGGAGGAAGCGGACAAAGAAAACAGCAGACACAATCGCTTTCGGACTGTGAGAAGTGCAAGACCATGAGTCTGTGGTCGATCACGGCCCTTTGTGGAGCAGAATGTACTGATGTTTGGAACATGAATGACTCACAGCTGAGATGTCCTGATCCATGTGTTTCTTTCTGCTGCCAACCGCCAGTTCTGGAGCACAAACACCTCGTATACTGTAGTGCTATATACAAGTTTGTCTCGCTGTACAACCACCGCTCTTAGCTCCCAGCATGCACTGGGTGGTCGTTTCAGATATTGTTATTTTCAACCTTTGCCTGGAATGATTGGACCCACTGGCCAAGTTTGTTCAAGTGAGTTGAAAACCACCAATCTTTAAATGGGATCGTGGCTTTGGTATGATTTGAGACCGTGACTTGAACGGATGCATCTCCCCAGCCCTGCTTCGCATGCTCAGAACCGGGCACTCAGGACCCTTTTTGAACCGCTACCTGGGCGGGTTTGCTGATCACCAGAAAGAATTAGTGCCTTGGCAGCCTTGATGAACCTACAGGTCTAAATGCTGGAACATATTGGCAAGTAGAGCGTCGCTAAAGACATGCCAAAGGCGAACGTTTCATCACCAGGTCCTTCAGCGGTTCGTTTCCCCAAGTCGCTATGTTTGGATTCTCCCGCGGACCACGTCCCACCTCTTCCCACATCCCGAGGATGAGAACTTCATGGCAAAGGAGGGTCGGACATCCATGCCCGTGTGGTGGGTACCAAGCAGGTCACAGTTGATTTGTGTTTTCTTTACTGTTTTTCGGAGGCAGGCCTTGGGTCCAAGTACAGTCGGACGTGTTCTTTTTGTTCGGGTCATGTCCTAATGTGCTAGGGTGCTTTGGAGGGGCCAGGTAGTTACGTTGCAAGATATAGCAAGTACAGACCTCATCATCCTTGAGGTCTGAAAGCGATGCCATTCGTTTGATAGTGCTGTTTTTGTTGCATTGCTGTCCACCTGCTTTGCTGCTTCTCCGCCCTACCCAACAAGTGCTTTGGCACCTTGGGAAATCGTCCCAACACGAGCACTTGTCACACCGCTGGCCGGGTGTAGGTGCTACCTGAGGATCCAGTTGGCATTTTGCAATAGCATACTATAGTGCGGATCTCTGCTCTACTTTAGGAGTTTGAGGCCAACCCACTTGGTGCAGTGAGACCATGGGCTATTTTGTGCTCACTGGGTGTCTTGTGCTCACTGGTTTCTTTGGGGCCTTTCGGTCTCAACTGAGCAGAGTGTCTCGGGTAGCCTGCAGGGGAGGCCCACTCACAACAAATGTCTTCACAGACTTCATGTTGCTTCGACTCATATCGGCTTTTTCTGGATGACTTTTGTCATTTCTTATTTTTGTTCTGCTCACAACGAACTCTTTGTGCCTGCTTACATGAGAGACAGTCGGTCGGAACACGACGTTCGTTGGTGACCTCCGGGTTCTCCGGGGCTCCCCGCAGGATGGAGAGGTGGAGGGTGGTGCCACCGCCGAAGACTTGAAAGCAGAGATGCTGGGCAGTGGCGATGTGGTCCTCGTGGAGGCCGTGTTTTCCATTTTTTTGTCATGTGTTCAACTACGCACGCGTTGGATGTGGGGTGTATTGGGGTGTAAACCTAGTAGTAGACCTGTAACAGTCGGTAAAACGATGTTCACTATATGTATAGAAATTCCTGTACTACCGACCATCATCATCCACTGTTACAGGGAATGGGATCTCAATGAATATGTTCGAATGAGCGTCCGGCACGGCTGGCTGCGCCGGACTTGGGGGGACGGCGCCGGTCGAAAGGCCCAGGGGGGGGTGGACCGTCCATTCCGGAAAATAGGTTTCGGATTTGTTGCCCTGGTGTTCATGTCTTCAGGATATGTGTGTGGTGTCGTTTTGCCCCAAGTCGTTTAGAACGCAAAGGAGGTCTGGGTCGTACCGGAGTCGCAGGGTTACCCCCAAGCCGCCTCGGCGCTGCCTTTGGCAACCAAAGAACGCGCTTTCGAGAGGCAGAACAGAACTTACGAAGCAACAGGATTCTTCAAACGGGAAGACAAACTACTCAGCACATGGAAACCATTCTGAACTTTGAGTCATTCTTTCAGGAACTTCTTGGAGGCCTGACATTTGAAGAGCTTGTCACAAGTTGAAAGGTACAGTCACTTCGGGGTAGATGGCACAAACCCGTACTAGTAGTTGTGTAGACATCGCTCCATACTAACCACTCTGAAACCACTCTAGGCCATGAGATATTGCCTCTTTTGAGAAGTCTGGCATGGATGTTGATGTCAGATGTTCATACAAAAGCTGGGAAGTGCAACCCTTCAGCGCTAAGTCGTAGCAGGCAAAACCAAGTGGTTGCAGGATTGATTCATTCAGTTGGTTTTTCTATTGGATTCTCTCCGGGATGCACTAGAATTGTTGGTTTAGAAGAGTTGGGGATCCCACAGCGGTCATGTCGTTCTGTTGAGGACAAGCAATTGGATCAGGGTGGCCTTGATCATATCAGCTTCTACATGTTTGTTACAAGGTATCGTGTCTTGTTCTTTTTGTGATGTTATAATTTATACATGCTCCTTCAAACCAAAAGGAGGGTGACCTGATGTCTACTTCCTCCATGAACCCGGTTTGGATCCAGCCGCGCGAACAGGGCGTGGATGGCATTCACGGCGCTGTGCTGGCCACCATTCTCAAGGCGCTGTGCGGGCACGTCCGTCGACACGGGACGTGACCGAAGTGCAGGGTGAAACATTGATGACATGCTCCCAGATACTGTAACGCGTGTCCCAGTAAACCAGTAATGGGTAAAAGATTGTCACTTAGGTTTGCAACCTAACCATCATCCCTTGACGTGGTGGGCGTTTTTGGCATCGTAAAGCATGTTTTTTGCCCAAAACTCCCAGATTCATGTGTGACATCTCCTGCGTCTCCTGTGAACAGCTCATCGCTTTCCGGCCCTTGATTCCGATCGACTCAGATGATCGGCGAACTGTCGCGAGGCGATATTCGTGGCGTCAGTAGCTTGTTGTGGTAAGAGCTTGTCTGCCGCCAAGTCGGCTGGATCAGGCAATTCCATAATCACTCTGGCATGCCCTTTCGGATCTTTCGGGTTGTCCTCTGAGAATTGAGGGACCAAGGAACGTGGTTCATGATGGTTCGTGAGTCGAGGTCTTGATACTGATGGTTCGAGTCACCATGACCGACACCAGCCGACACCACCTACATTCATCCTGATTCTGAGATCTTCTTCTGGAAGAAAGGCATCTGACTGAGCAATAGATTCAATAGATGTCCAGCCATCAGATCAACATCACTTCTCTGGAGAAATCAAGCAAAAAACGTGCTCTGGGTCTCCTGAACTGGGTCTCCTTCTCTCTCCGCCCGTCTCAGACAGTCTCGGGAGACCTCTCGGGAGTCTTCTTCCACTTGTCTCATCTTTCGATACCCCTCACCGAGCGGCCAGGAAGAGAAGGGCAAATGCGAGATCAAGTACTTTGACCCGACCGAGCACCGGATAGAGACCATGTTCCCTGGTTCAGCGAGCGATTGAGAACAATGCAGGAGGTTCCTGCAGGAGAGTCGGTTCCTGCAGAGCTGCGCGTGGCGAGGATTTCCCTGGTTCCTAGGATATATATAGTATGTTATAGCTACTAGGAACAAGTGCCACGCTAGTAGTAACAAGTGCCTTACTAGTAGTAACAAGAAGCTACTAGGAACAAGTGCTACGTTATAGTATGTTATAGTTTATGTTGTAGTTGTGCCGGGTCAGGTTGGTTGAATGCTCGCGCAATAGATCACAGTGACACTTTTCATTTTGTTTCACTTGGCTTTCTGGCGATTTGTTGAGTCGTTATTATGGTTTCTTTTTGCACCTCAGGATGTCTCGTTGGTGATGTGGGCTCAGACCCGCTGAAGAAACATATGAGATCTTCCAGTCATCCACTAACTAGCTATTTCTTGTTCTCTTGAGAGGGAACCAAGTACTTCTTTTGTTTGCTCATCCTCACCGATTTCCTTCATGTGTTTATTTTTTAGTGTGTATGTGTGTACTGCCGTCATTTTTGTTCGGCAGTAGTTGTGTATAGTATAAAGTAATATAAAAGCAAGAACAGTGATGTTGTTTTGGTCTCCACTACTGGATGTTTGCATGGTGTCGGTGCTGCTGCTGTTGCAGTTGTTGTCGTTGTTGTCGTAACTGTTTCAGAAAAGGATGTGTTTACTGTTTCTGTATATACCAGGATAAAACGGACAAATAATTGCCTACTATTCAGAAAACATGCTGTTAGCGAGGTGAAAATCCAAAAAGAACCGGCGTTTTTTGACCTCCAAACATGCATCTTTCCCCGTCCATGCATTTTTGAGCACATGTTTGCAATTGAAGTGGCATTTGCTTGGAATGTTGGTGTTCTTTTTTTTTTTAGAACAACGCCTCCAGCCAACATTTCTTTGGCCGTTATTATATTGAATTCAATGCCTGCGGCCAACATGTTTTTGTTGCCGTTATGTAATGAAATTCATGTTTCACAGAGCCCAAAGGCCAAAGAAGTCGGATGAAGTAGGGGGGTCATACCTGGACGTTCACCTTCTACCGGTTTCTTCCCTTTCCAGACGAAGACGACTTCGATCCGCTTCAGCGTTGGCGGAGAAGTCGTCTCATCCTGCCAGGTCCGGAGTTCCGGTGTCCAAGATGAAGAGAACGTCCCGAATGTCGCAATGAGCCTGTTCTGCAGCGTCCGGGCGAGGTCGAGGCGTCATGCGTCATGCCAATATCGGACGTCCCAAACAGGAACCGAATATACTCTTTTTATGAAAGGACCTTTTTGGATGAAGTGCCAGTCGACACTTTCATGGAGACAACTGGTACTGAACTATGGAACTGCGCATCCGCTAAGCCTAGAGGGGAGATTTGTAGGGGTGCAACTTCACCTGTTTGGCCAAACTTCCTCGGAATCAAGATCAAATGGTCAAATCTGTATATTAGTATATCTAATTATATTCACAGAGATGGATTGTGATTGATCCACAGCTAAGTAGATGGCAGGTGAGGAAACTATAGCAAACTAAAGATGCTGTCTTAAGAAATCTTAAGATATAATAAGGTTGGACCACCAGATATTAGTTTTGGAGTAGGCAAGACCAAGGTCCTAAATCTCGCTCAGCTTATAATTTCTTAAAGCAGAGACCCGGGATTGGATGTCCACACGCCTCACTTCTCACGCTTCTTGAATGTTCCCCAGCAATGCGGGGCCCAAGCACTACGGCAAAAGATGTCGAAGACGCACCTCCCAGAAAAGTGGAGAGCGTTCTTGGTCGATTTGCTGAATGAGCGCTGTCCTTCGAGCATACTAAGATGCTCGAGTAGTCGTACCTATCGGCTGGATGCGAACCTTCGCAGTGTTTTAATCCGCCCATGTCACGCGAGGACTAGTCCAGTGACATCATCAGCTCCTGTGAGGCCTCCCTACTTTAATACATATACCAATGATGCTCCAAACACCCCCAAATCATGGGATGCTCAGATTGTCAGGACCCCATACGCTGCGCTCCCAAGTCCCTGTGTCAGGGACGGGCAGTAGCAGGCTTCCATGAGTTTGATCGACATTGATTCTTGACGCGTCGCGTGACACTGGTGGAAGTAGATCGAGGTTTCACAAGTCACCACGACGTTTCGCAAGATGTCTTGGCGAAGATCACGGGGATCGTTGGCGATGACCACGGCATCTCTCCGACTGAATCGGAACGGCATCACTAACATGGGCCCTCCATAGCAGGGGGCAATAGAAAATGCACCCCTCTAGCGAGCCATTTCTGATAGGCTGCAGGAAGCTGGAAAGACCTGGCCGGACCTGGCCTCTCATAGAAGGGGACATCATGACCCTGTACAAACAGGTACACTCAGGGCACCCATGGCGCAAAGTCATGCAAAGTCCAGGTACCCTGGCACAACATGATATGGGTGATATTGAGTTTGGAGTGTTACGAGCATTGTTTGGCGACTGTTTTGATTACATGATTCTCTCACCATTATCCAGCATGCAGAACCTCACATCAACTTTCAACCCCCATCATAGCACTCAGTATATATCCTTGCTTAGTGGATCAACAAGGGAACCGTTGACGAGATGTTTATACAGTAATTAACTATGATATGTTTACATGCTGTAACGAAGTATGCACACTTGAATGGTCAGCCACATACATGCTGAGTCCTGCTACAAGACGCAGTTGATCCTGTGTTCGCTGCTGATCATGCGCGATTGCGGCACCAGCACGCAGTTTTTATCCCATCATTGCGTCTAGGGCAGGTAGGAGGAGTGTGCTGTGTGATATGGATGGCGTCGCTTGGTTTTTGAGGCGCTGGTTATATAATGCTAGTGTGAATTAATTAACCAAGAGAGTAGGATGCCGCATTGGGTACATTGCATCTCCAGCCTTGAGATTCCGGAGACAGTTCTTTTTTACCGAAACTCAGCACACAAAGGCTGCCGGTGACAAGAGAAATGTCCACGTCTTCGCAGAAAAGACCGTTGGAGTAGCGTAAGCTGGGTGAGTTTGTTCTAGTCATAGATGGCCTTTGACTTTGGGTTGGTTGATTAACACGGGGTAATATTGGTACCAAAGTCTCCCCTCTATTCCTGTTACGGACATCACTGGTTCGGCCGCGGCGTGACGGCGTTACGGCGAACGGAACAGTGATGTTCTTCGGCCGCGGTATGGTACCATTGCAACAATCCAAGCAATCCACGATGGGCTGAGCCATCAGGGGTCAATGTATGCAAATATTCCTGTCCCATGGATGGTCTGGGTTGGATCTCAAAAATTGCTCTTGTTTGGGCCCCGGCTTTCTTTTGTTGTGGGACTAGGACTCGTGTAGCAAGCAACTTTGAGTCTCCGTGAGGCAGTTTCACCTCCAGAAGCCTCAGACTAGGTCGGTGAGGTGTTTCCAGTGTTGATATCCAGGCTTGGGCATGTGGACACTGGGCTGTTGGTGACATCCCTGGTAGTCCATCTGTGTTTTTCGTGTTGGCAAACGGGTCGTCCCAGAGTACCAAGCTCTTCCGTTTTGTGGTGCCTGGTCCTTTCCAAAGTGACATGTTGAATCATGTTGACATGTTTTGGCCTAAAAACCCTTCCTCCGCCGGGATGGCCAGGACAGCATCCACGGCAGGGACGCCACATTGTTCTGGACGAACAGCGAAGCTTCACATCCCACCGGCGTGCACCTGGAAATATGCCGAGGGAACCATCTCCAACGTCGCCAGGTGCGACCAGCTCCACGCTTTGGACTCCCCGCCGGGCGCAGGCGGGAAAAAACGGGCGGCGGAAGGGATGCACTACACTTGGCCAAAATGTGCGGCCGGTACCTTGAGAAACACCAAGCCAGCTGCACCTAGTGGTAGCCCGCCTAGTGGTAGGGAGGGATGGCCTTGTCAGGTCGCGGTGGCTACCGTGGCTCCAGTGCGCTACATGCGACCTCCCAGCACACCCAGACAGGCCGGAGATGGGGTTGAATTCAGGGAGACAGGGCGGACACACCCAGAAGGTTCAGGTCGGAGCCCTTGATCTCAGGGAAGTTGTGGAGATTGAAGCCATGATGGTTTTGTTTATCATGGAAAAACTGGCGTGTGATGCATTCCTCGTGATGTGCGCCCGATCACAGTCTTCACCCGGACCAGGACTCCCGGTCATGGCACCATCAAATCCGTCATGAGTCACCAAACCCTCAAATCAGGTGCACAGTCTCCACCATGGAGCCGGATGTCGACCAATCCGCTGTTTCAGGGGTCGAACGGGTTTGGACCCAAAAGTCCAACCCACACACGATTGAAGAAGGAACTGTTGCAGCCCGTTGGCTTCAGATGTTTTTTTTGAAGAAAGAACCGTCGACAGTGTGCGGTTGTGTATCAAAGTCGTGGAACCTTTCTATATAACTATTTTGGACGTCCATCTAGTCTTTTTGAGGTTCATAAATCTACGATTCCTCGTTATACGTCCTTGTTTTGCAGGTTCCCTTGTTGTACAACACAGGTCGAATAAAGAAGCAAGACGTTTCTACCCCCTACTTGTAGCAGTCCAGACCTCTAAGCCAATTTCTCACGTCAGAAAGCTGGATGAAGAAGCAGCCCCGCTGACCGATCAGATCTGAAGAGCCAACAATCCCACCACCTGGGATTTTGACCAACCGCCACTTGGCACCGGTGCCACAGGCGCCCCAGGTGCCTCAGGCGCCTCAGGTGCCTCACGTGCCAGCGCCGGTGACGATGCAGTTCGGGGGACACAGAGTGCTTTTGAAAGTGGGTAGGCAAGCAGGCTGGATGTGTCGAAGCTTCGTGGAATCGTTCTTTTTGCTGTTGCCCTGAGTTATATGAAGGAGTCTAAGTGCACGCGCGCATGAAGACACAGGTCCAGATCTGGCAAAGGGAGTAACTGGCTCATGGGCAGATTAGATGCTTCTCCATGGTCAAAAGGAACTATTTTGTGTATATAGGAACCCAACATATCTACCAACACACAGACAATTGCTCGGGCAGTTATTATATACATGTAATGTACATTCGCATATTTAAGGGGTTGACCGTTTTGGCTTAGAAGATTCGTCGTGGACCGATGATTCGTCGTCGTGGACCCTTTGGCAAAAGAGGGTGTTGGGCCCATTGGGCCCGCAGTACTTGGTTCGCCTCTAGAATGTGTGGCCGCCACCCACTACCTAAGGAAACTTGGGAGTATATTTTGTGCGCCAAGCAGGCAATGATGGAGTCAATGACCTCCCAGTCAGTCTTCTTTGCCCCAGATCAACCATTTTTGCCGCGGTCCGTGTTCTTCGAATAGAGCCCGCCGGCATCCCACGGCAGCCCAACATGCCAAGGTCCAATTCCTTAAGCCCCAGGGAACGGGTCTTGAAGGCGAGAGAGGCCACCATGTGCAGCGGCGTGGAATCAAGGGGACACGCAAGCAAAACGTGAATGGGTAAGAATGGGGCACTTAATTGGGTTGGTCAACTGATGCGATCTGGGGATCTCTCCAAATACCGGCCTTTGGCTGGCAGCTGGGGGACCTTGCCTGCCTCCTTCAACTATTTGGGGGCAAGCAGGACGGCTCAGAGCCTAGCAGCCACGTCAGAATCACCACCTGACATACTGTTTATGTGTCAAGAGCAAATCCTGCATGGAAGGACTGCGTGTTCTAAAATGTTGTTTGTTCTTGTGCTCAAAGTACTTATGCCAGAGTTTATCAACCAACATCATTGGTACCACAGAGGGTCAGGAGATGGCTGTTTGACCCTTTTCTTAGCAGCTGGGGGCCAATGTCAAGATTCAGGAGACTTTCGATGTTGCCCAACTGTCGCCTTTTCTCTTTGTATTTGCCGCACCCCGTGCTTTCACAGACCATGGTGGCAGTGGTTTGGACATGGACCCTGATCCGATCAGCAGGGAGATACGGAGATACTCGGGTCACCGGGGATACCCTCCTGAAACGCATGTTCAACATGAACCCATAGTAAGAGTCATCAACATGTCGTTCCTTTGCAGCACCTCTGATCTGGGAAAGTGGGATTTCGGTCTCAATCACCCGACTCACACCCAGCGCGAGGCGCCTCGGATCTCAGCACCTGCGGCGGAGTCTTGGAGTGCACAAATGGTGGCAGAAACAGGTTGGACTCTCCTCTTGCCTGGTTTGCTGTAGATCCTGCGGAGATTGCAGGCCATGACAAAGATGTGACACATGAAAACCAATAGTCAAATATAGTCTCTTCATGTCTCTTCACTTTTCTCCTAAAGTC